ATTTAAAACGTTAGTCAACAAGAACAGAACAGAAAAAAAAAAGAAAATCCACCGAGCTCAGCCATTCGACAAAACATTAATTCAAAAAAAGGTTCAAGTATTCATTTGATACAACCCGAAAAGAGAAATTTAAGAGATTCCGGGGAGGGATTTGCTTTTCTGATGGTCATTCACGGGAGGCTATTGGATTATTTATTTGAATGTAATCATAAATGTGTGATTACCAGTTGAAATTAAATGCTGTTACCCTCAAACCTCTTGCCATGGGTGGCTAGTTATAGCTCCAGCGTATTTCATGTCCTTATTTATCGCCCCTTCGTAGTCTTGGTAGCTAAATGACTCAAGTCTTTCAACAGCAATACCGCACGATCTGGAATCTTTAGACGCATCGGAACGACTGTCAATGTACCTATAAATGGAAAACTATGGTGGTTGGCATACGTAATTCTCAGTGGTGCCAAACTACCGGCACAACAAGACATGTTTCTTATTTGGCTTTATTATTTTTAGTGACAGCTAATGTCATCATACTCCAAAGTACAGAATTAAATTGGTTGTTGTTCTTATTGAATACTCTCCATTGACCGCTGTTGCAGTATTATCGCAGAAATAGCCAGAAAGAGTAAAAACAAGAACATCAAATACAAATTTACTTGATGATCAACAACTACAATGTTCAAACCTTGTTTTTTATCGAAAAAAAAAAAATACTAGCCATTTACCGTCAATCACCTACGTATATCCATGACAAAGCCTTACATAGAGGTAGTAGTAGTAGAACACCAGTATGGATACAACCTCTGTAGAGCATTTGAACTACCCAAGGCTGCTTACTTGCTTTAACCGAGGACCCTGGAAACGTTACAGTGATGTCTCATAAGAATTATACTAAAAATCATTGTTTCCCCCTTGGTTTCAACAAGTTCCTGAAAGGAGTTTAAAAGGCCATTAAATACGCTCATGATATGTAATCATGTGTGGCTGTCAAGTGAACAATCATTAATATTTTCTGGATCAGATCAGAGCTGGCTCTGCTGTCACAGAAACTTTGTTCATTGCTTCAATGTTTAACTTCCTCGGACTTTGCTCTTTACGTTTTTCTGTTTTCTGGTGGGGTTGGAGCTGATCTTTGAAAAATAGTATATACTTACGACATGTAAACGCAATCAAGCAATGGGCACTGCCCACTTCAAACTCAACCTGGGTACTCCAACATCTCTCATAAATTTTAACTTTTGAATATTGCTCACCTGCCACCAGAAATCATCGCATTGCAAGCAACGAAATGGCTTACAATCAACAAAGGGGTTGCAACAAGGCCAAAAAGTATATTATCAAGTCACACCAACGAATCAAATGCAATCTCTTTTACTGTCTTTGTCTCAAACGTCAATTTTGTGGAGGAAAAAAAAAGTTTGGTACGATAATGCGGCAAAAATAGATCTGTCTACTTTGGGACTTTTGTAACCAAAAGTATTGAATAATGTTGTCATCAGTCTCACGGCATGAATACATGTCAATTATTGGTTTTAAGACTTAAGTATTACGCATTAGGACATACACCCAATGGTGCTTTGTTTATTAGTATTGTGACAATAACTCTAAACCCCATTAGTGTTTAGCTAGCCTTCTTTCAACACCTTGTTTTTATTTTGAGACTTTGATTCTTTCTATTGTCCATTTGCTTTCTCTTCCTCCTCTCTCTTTCTCTCTTTCTCTCTATCAACTGCATCCATTTTTTTCATCGCTTTCATTTTGATCTTTCTCGTTTTAACTTCTGGTCTATCATGTTCAGACGCCAGCCGGAGGCTGAGTTCACCATACTCAAACGTACCCCAACGGGTACAATCACCGAAAACAATCAAATTGTTACCACTGGTGACGAAACTCGCCCACCCCAGGCATTCAACAAGCTGAAAGAAAAAATAACTAAAATCAGACCGCTCTCTTACCTTCCAACTTCGAGCTCTCGGTCATCATCTCCGGTACCGTCAAATCATTTGTATCATCATAAAAAATCTTTTTCAACATCATCGGTAAACTCAAACCACAACACCGCTTCGAATAATTTGCTAGAGCCAAGCCAGGAAATTCTAGATATTCTTGCCATGGTTGATCCAACAAACGAAAAGCTCACTGGTGTGTCGCGCCTGTCACAATACTTTACATCCACTGACACACAACAGCCATCTGATACTAATCATGATTTTCAATTTCCAAGCACCACTAACTCCAATGACAGTAGCGGCCACCGATTTCATCAATTGCAGCAAAACAGGCAGACACAGTCAGACTCACATATTTTCAGTCCTCAGTCACGTGATATCAATAGCATTCCCACCCAGTTTCCATTGGACTCTTCGGCAGCCTATCCCCTTCCCCCTTCATCACTGTCAAAATCTCCACCCCTAAATATTCCCTCTGATCAAGAGCCAAGGAAGTCAGTACTTGCTTCAAGCATCATGTCAAGTTTTGGCCAACCTCCTGCCTTACAGCAGCAGCAGCAGCAGCAGCAGCGGCAGCAGCAGCGGCAGCAGCCACTGCCTCAAACAAATAACGCCAACGTATTAAATCACAATACCCCTTTTGAGAATCCTAGTTCTTCTACAACGGACTCACGGAAACCAGTAAATGACAACTATAACGGTAATCAGATTCAGATTAACTTAAACGAAAACGCGATTGATGACGAAGAGGAGTATGACTCTGACGATTCATTTACAGTTGGCGATGAGAGGCGTCTTTCGGTTCTTTCCTCTGACATGAGCCCAGAGGAGCGCCGTCAAATGATTTTTTCGCATGGTACTACAAACAACTCAGTATTATCGCCTCTTTCGCCTACCTTTTCCACTCATTCTTTTCAGCCCTCTCTTAATCAGTCGCCATCTCAGTTCGATTACAACGAAAATTCGGCCAATAGTTACCGTCGACAGAGCGCAGACCATGAGGCAGACCTTCTTGAGCGGATATCAAGCTACGAAAGCCAAGTTGTGCCATTATCAGTGTCCAAAAACAATAGTAGAGCCAACAGCCGAAATCATTCTAGGGCCAGCTCTTTTAGCAAGCCAACAAGTGAAGCTAATTTTAATTTACATGATGTTGAAGCAGCAGTTGACTCGCTTCTGTCAGAGAATCAACGGTTGCCTAAACTGTCTCAATATCCTCAGTATTCTCAGACTCAGCCTCAACCTCAATCTCAACCTCAGCCTCAAGCTGCGCCTACTTTAATTCTTCCAAGTGATCACAGGCATTCTTTTTACTCAGATGATTTGATTCGACAGTATGACCGCGAACTGGACCAGCAAAGAAATCAACGACCAGTAATTCCCTCGTTGGAAATCTCTTCTGTAGATGACGAGACCTCCTATGGTGACCCATACGCTGATCTCAAGGAGGATTATTCATACAATCCTGGCACTTATAATCCACACCCTCTTCCAAAAGATGATTATAATAACACTAAATTTTCTGTTCCTGGTCAGCCGCAGCATGATCGACAGTCATTTGACCAACAGTTTGCGGTACCCATTGAACCGCAGGAATCGTTTGTTAAACAACACCGGCCACAGAAATCTATTGAGGAACAATTTGTAGAGTCTCAGGGTGTATACAAGCCTATCTTTTCACCTCAGTCAGAGTCTTTTTCTGAGCAAAGAACTCCTCAATATTCAAACTCTCCCTCTTATCAACCGATTTCTTCATATCAACCTCAACCGCTAATTAATGTGACTCCTGAACAGAAATTATATCAACAACCTCATTCTCAAAGGTCATCATTTGAATTTCAACGCCCTCAGTCTAAAGTTCAAGAAACTCCTCGACCTGTTTCCCCTCACCGGCCTACTGCCCGCGAAGTTGAAGAGCCAGCTCCTTCTCAAAAGCTTTCATTGACTAGAACCCAAGCGGAGCTTAACCAATGGGAAAAGGAAGCCGAAACATTAGCCTTACACATCCCATCTGAGACTTCTCTTGCAGCCTCATCACCGACGACTCATAAGCGCATTTCTAGATTTAATATTTTTGGAAATCGGCACCGTTCTCATAGTGATGCTGATAGTATCAACAGCCCTACTTCTAATGAGCCCAGGAGTCCTGTACCGCCGTCTCCTGCCCTTTCTACCTCTAGTTTTGGCCAGTCTGGTAATTCATATTTTAACAAACAGCCCGACGAAGTGGCACGTAACATGGCGGTTACCTTCTCCAAATCCACCGATGAACAAGTGCAACATGCTATTGATTTGCATGAAGCCGGAAAACTTGAAGAATCAGCAGAACTCTTTGAAACTCTCGGAGATCCTAATGGTATTAACCACCCACTGGCTCAGGTTCTGCTAGGTTTGTCATACAGACATGGATGGGGCGTTCCTGTTAACGAGGAGATGGCATTCAAATACTTGCGTATTGCGGCTAGCAACAGTGCATTGGTAGATAAGATTGCTGCTACGGGTCAAGCCACCAATATTAAAGCCTCAGCCAGCAACAAGTCACGAAAAGGTATTGCCAAGGGCGAACTTGTACTTTCCATTTATGAGCTAGGAAACTGCTTTCGTTATGGCTGGGGCACGGAAAAGGACCCCGAGTCCGCCCTCAAGTACTATGAGACTGCTGCGCGTCTGGGCGACGTTGATGCCATGTCCGATGCTGCGTGGTGCTACATGAACGGGTTTGGTATCAAGAAGAAGAACAAGTACATGGCGGCCAAGTACTACAGAATGGCCGAGAAAGCTGGCAAGGTTGAAGTTGGCAACTCTTGGGTATGGAAGGAAAAATATGACGACGACAAGCAGAAGAAGTAAAAAGAAAAAAAAAGAACAAAACCATCTAAAACGAAGAATTTGCACAAACCTAATACTTAATACGAATACACGAGAAATTGAACAGAAATATACCCTATGAAATATATGAATTGAAAAACAATTTTTTTTTTTTTTTTTTTTGAAAAAAGATTGAGTAGCATTCCAAGATAAAAAAAGTATTGAGAGAAAGAGAGAAAAAAAATATAGCGACAACTGGTTTCGATCCAGTGACCCCGGGGTTATGAGCCCCGTGCGCTTCCTCTGCGCCATGTCGCTTATTTTCTGAAAATATAGATTTATACTTCTATATAACCCAAGTATGGGAATTTTACGGTTTTCTTCTTTTTTTCAATAATAGTGCTTGTAGTTTTTGTTAAGGTCTGGAAATAGAAGTTTAAAAGTCACCAATAAGTGTGCAAAGCATGGGAGAAACTTTTTGGGTTGTATGTCACCATATTAATCAAGTTGGGGGCGCGCCATCGAATGTTTGAACTCATAACACGCGCTGACACCGCTACCTTGACAGTCTCATAGAGACAAACGCCTTTGA